GTAGTTTCACATCCCACCTTCATTCAGCTTCTCATCCAAGAAAATGTCCCATAATAAAAATTGGGATTTTCTGCTTTGGCGGTACCAGCAGCTCCCTTCCCTTCCCAGTGCAGGGCTGGTCAGTTGTTACCTTATCTCCAAAAGGAGATGGCAATTCAGTGGCAGGACAGGAATTTGGGGGGGATTTCAAGGCAGCAAGGAGGGGATTCTAACTTTGGGGCTCTCTCCGTGCTCAGATTTGCCAGTAGCTGTGGCATTCCACAGAGCAGTGAAATCCTTGTGATGGGAAGCACCAGGCATCCCTGAAGCAGCATGCAGGGGAACTAATGAGGCTGTCATGTAATTAGTGCCTGTGACCCACCACAGGTATCATGTCAGGGATGTGGGATCCCAAAACACATCCTAATCTCAGTTTCCCCAGAGTGCTGGTTCTGGCAATAAAGGATGAGAGATCCCAGGGCCAGGAGTGCGTGGGAGCAGGTGAGGGGCTGAAGTGGGGCTCCTGTGGGGTGTTGCCAGCCCCTCTCCCCCTGCCCACAGGCAGCTCCAGCTTTCCCTCTCCTGCATTGCCCTCTCCAGATCCCTCTATTTTCTGGCAGATAGGATTAAGCCTGACCTTCTGCCCCATCTCAGAGAGAGCCAAACCTCTTTCAGATCTAATTATTTTCCATTTTTGTTTAATTGTGCACATCCTGCTGCTGGATGAGAAGGGGACCAGCTCCTGCCTGGGCAGAGGCACCCAGCCCTTCATCAGCCACAGGCTTCTGGGTCAGTGCTCCATCTTTTGGGGTTGTGGTTTAAACCCCCAAATCCCTTGAAGGTCCAAGGCAAAGTTCCCAATTAGCAGCTCTGGTGCCATCCTGTGTTTCCCCAGTGGGGACCTTCATGCTCAGCTCTCCCCCATGTGAGGAGGAGGAGCCCAGCTACAGCCACCTGCCTCCCTCACCATCCTCCTCCTCCTCTCCTGCACCCAGTTTACACCAGAATCAGCTTTTTCTACGTGTATTTTACTCCTATGTTTAAGTAGCACCAACTTCTTTGAGCAGTGCATTGCAGGCCTTTTTTTATTTAATGGTCTTTGATTTCTCAGTTTATCTGAGCTGCTACAGAATCCCAGCTGGTGCCAGGCTGGAGTTTGGCTGTGCCAGCCTGAAAGTGCTGCTGAACCACCACGAGAGCGATGATAAAATATCGGGGTGTGACAGCCCTCTCTGCAGGAGGATGGGAGAAAATAAGACATGTTTTCAACTCACCAGGCAGCTGACTAAGAGAGGAAACAGATAAATCAGATTCATCCCAACAGGAAGCCTTGCCTGGAGCAGGGACATCTGCATATGGAAAATATGGATATGCTCTGGTGGGCCTTGAGTCCCGCTACACTCGTGTATCCTTTACAGCATCACTTATGCTGAGTGTTGCTCTCCCAAATCTCATTTTTTTAGCACCAAAACAACCTCACAGCATTCCCACGGGCAAAGGAGCACACCCAGAGTACCAAAAGTCCCCTCTGCTGCAATACAGCAGTTTCTTCTCCACCAAAGCTGTGCCACATCGTGTCCCTTGCTCCTTTCGGCACAGGACAGCTCAGGCACGCTGTGGCTGCCTCAGGAAGTGGCTCTGGAGGAGGGGGAACTCTGTGGAGAAGTAAATACCAGTGCAGAAAGTTCCAGGGAGAGTCTCCAGCGTTTCCAGCAAGCCATCTAGTGGCTTCCTATTAAAACAAAAAAAAAAGTTGCATGCCTTGGAACTGGGAGGGTGAATCTGGAGGGGCGAGTGCTGCTCACCACTGCAGTCGTGTCAGGAAACTGATGGACAGAGTTTGGTCCTTACTGGGAGAAGGTGCTGCTTTAACAGCCCTCTTCTGGGTCAGGGGTGGTGGGAGGGTTGGGTTAGCTGCTGGCTGGCAGCGTGGGTCATGCAGAATCATAGAATCATGGAATATCCTGAGGTGGAGGGGACCCACATGGATCTTACAGTCCAATTCCTGGGTCACAGAATATCCTGAGCTGGATTTTGGTTTGCTCTTGTGCCTTCCCAAGAGCAAACCTGATGAATGATCCTACAGATGGAGGTCTGGATCTGCATTTCAGTGGGTTCAGTTAGCCTAGCTCAAAAGCAGACAGAGGCTATAGGAATAATCAGTGATTTAGAGCAGCTTCCTGTCTGGAATGAGTTGAAGACTGCAGAGAGGGAGAGAGAATGTAAAGTTTTGGGGGATGTTTTCAGCGTTTCACCTGATGAAATTTTGGGCACTGTGTTTAAAGCAGGCAGGAGGGAGTGTTCTCCACCACACAGCTCAGTTGTGGCTCCTGTAGCACAGCCTGAGACTGGGCTGGAAGTCTGAAGGCTTTACAGAGAGCTTTGGTCAGCACTGGAGGAGAGGCTGCCCTGGGGCTGGGAGGTGTCAGTTGGCTGATCTGGGTTGATTTGGTGGGTGTTTGGAGTTTGTATCAGCTCTTCAGAGAAACCTCTGGTGATGGAGATCTCACACTGTCCCAAGCCTTCCTGCCCTACAGAAGGCAGTTCCATCATGTCCAACCTCATTCATCTTTGCTGCAGCTCAAGTTGCAGAATCACAGAATTGTTTAGGTTGGAAAAGCCCTCCAAGACCATTGAGTTCAGTCATTCCCCAGCACTGCCAAGGCCAACACTGGCCCCTGTCCCCAAGTCTCAGGTCTGTGGTGCTGAGCTGACCCCAAGAGTGTAAAAGTCCTCGTTTCCCAGCCCGTGCAGCCAGAGAAGGAGTCTAAATGTGTAGGATCAGCTTCTCAAGGTTGTTTATTCTTCCTTATCTATAATATTTTTTCTCTGACCTTCCCAGCTCTGTCCAGCAGGTCAGCCATGGCATTCTGTCTGCCCTCAGGGTGGTGATTGCATCTTATATCATAAATTACGTGTTGTATGTTTACAATATTGTGCCAATATCTATAATTTATATTAGACAATGAGTCTCTACCTTAAACCAATAGACAAGTGTCACCATCACACCAAGACATGGAGAACAAGAAGAAGAAGAAGCCTAGGACATGCCCAAATCCCTCCATCTTGACCTCCTGAACTACATTCTAAAAACCCCAAAATTCTACTTTTTCACCCTGTGTTAATTCAACTTTCGTATTACTCAAACTCTTGTGGTTTGTAATTCCTCACACAGAGTTGGCAGCTTTTTCCACAGGCTAAAATCAAAGCCACAGGTGTTTTTGACTTCATGCCAAGGTCTGTGAGCCCCTGCCAGGGTCTGGAGACAGCCAGGGCAGCCAGAGGGACGTCCTGAACTCTGACACCCAAGGGGCCACATCCTCACAGCTGTTAAATCCTTCCAGAGATGGTGACTCCACCATTTCCCTGGGCAGCAGCAGATGTGGAGAGCAGCTTGTCCATGCCAGTGTTCACCTCTCAGCCAGGAGCCAGGCCGGCTGGTGCAGCTTTTTTGTGCAATATGGAATCTGACTGATGTGGTGCTTCCCAAGCCAGGCTCTTGCCCACCTCTGCTGCACAGCCCTTTGTTCCCACCTGCATGCAGATGTTTGCACCTGCTTTGTGCAGATGTTCTTTCACATCTCTCCAAATCTCATAGAAACATAGAATATCCTGAGCTGGAAGGGGAGCCACAAGGGTCATCGAGTCCAACTCCTGACCTGCACAGGCCACTCCAACAATCCCATCCTGTGCTTGAAAGCGTTGTCCAAATTCCCCTGGAGCTCTGGCAGGCTGGTGCTGTGACCAGTCCTTGGGGAGTCTGGGCAGTGCCCCACCACCCTCTGGGGAAAGAACCTTTTCCTGATCTCCAGCCTAAACCTCCCTGACACAGCTCCATGCCACCCCTTCGAATCCTCAGCTCCGTTTGACCTCTAGTCCCGTTTCCTGGAGTGTTTTCCTTTTTCTTAGCACAATACCTGCATGCTGGCCACGTTTATCACATCACCCTTATCACCAATGACATTCTGGGTGTTGCCAGGCTCGGGACAGGTCTCAGGCACATCCTCCCAGTCTGACAGTGAATCAGCAGCACCAGCTCCCTCCATATGTTTTTCAGATGAGTTGTGTGCCCACATTAGAGCAGTTTCTCTCTGCTGTGCTGCTGAGGGAGCCATGTGCAGCAGCACCTAATGAATATCAAGATACACAGCACTGCCTGTTCCTCCAGCTATTCACAGGCCAGTTGCTCTGTCACAGGAGGAAATCAAATTGCTCTTGACAAATGGGTGTCGGCAGTCACTTATCATCTTGTTATCTTTTAAGTGCTTACAAATAGGTTGTTTCATTATTTGTTCCATCAGTTTTCCAGGAGTTGGAGTTAAGTGACCAGTTTGTAATTCCCTGACTTCTCCTTCTGCATATTTAAATCTAACCCCTAGGTTTCTTTTTTGTTTGTTTTTTTTCCTTGTCTTCTGAAACCTCTCCTGTTTGCTGTGATCTAACAGAGGAACAGGAGCTCTGGGGCTGCTTCAGCTGAGCCCTTCCCTCCTTTCCTTTGGGGCTGGTGGATGCACCAACACCCTGATTGGATGATTGTGTTCCTGCTGGAAAGCTTCTTCCCTCTGTGGTTGTCTCCTGAGTTACCTGCTTTGAATCTTGACCTTTTCAATTTTCCAGCCAAGTGCTTTTGAAAGGTTAGCTTTATCCACTGAGTGCTTTTGTGTAGTATTTTCTGTAATCTGCAACAACATGAAAAATTCGGGCCAAATCGTGATTTTGGCCCAAAATAAGAGCAACAGCAGTAGAGTAGAGTTGGAAAATGGTTATAAATGCATTGGTTGGGTTTTGTTTGGTTTTTTCAATGATTTTCAGGGGCATCTGGTAACTTTTGGTGTCTGGTTTGGCACATTTTGCCCCGACAGTGGTTTTGAAGGGTGGTGATCCCCTTACCAGGGAGATGCTCGGAAATCCCTTTGGCATGTTGTATTTACCCTGCCAGGGCCCGGTTATTTCTTTATTACCTCTACTTTTCAATTCCTCATTAACTTCCTCTTTTTCCCCCCTCCTTATTCCTTCAACAGGCATCATTAACCAGTGGCAACAGGAATCCAAGGACAAAGTGATCTCCTTGTTGTTAACCCACCTGCCTTTACTGAAACCCGGCAACATCGAGGCGAAAGTCGAGTACATGAAACTCTTGCCCAAAATCCTGGCGCACTCCATCGAGCACAACCAGCACATCGAGGAGAGCAGGCAGCTGCTGTCCTATGCCTTGATCCACCCTGCCACCTCCCTGGAGGACAGGAGCGCCCTGGCCATGTGGCTCAACCACCTGGAGGACCGCACCTCGGGGGGTTTCGGCGGGCAGGGCCGCGGCCGCTCCGACTCGCTGGACTACGGGCAGGCTCACTACTATCACCAAAGACAGAACTCCGACGACAAACTCAACGGGTGGCAGAACTCTCGGGACTCCGGCATCAGCGTCAGCGCTTCCAGCTGGCAGGATAAAAACATGGCCTGCGAGAACGGCCACCTGCCCCTCTACTCCTCCTCCTCCGTCCCCACCACCATCAACACCATCGGCACTAGCACAAGCACCAGTGAGTAGCCACGGGAGGCTCTGGGGATATTCCCCCCAATCCCACTAGGAATTGCAGCTTTGGCGTGGTTAGCAGAGGGGCTAAACTCATCTGGGCCATAGAAAATACCTTTTTTTTTTTTTTTTCTTTTTCCTCACCTGCTTTTTTTTATTTCCTGCTTGCCTTGTTGGTTTGTTTTTTTTTTTTTTTCCTCTAGTGCTGTGGGATTTTTAAAGACCTGGAAGCTGGAGAACAGGGAAAAACAGCAAAGAGTAAGAAAAAGTTAGAGAAAAAAATGTGTGTTACTGAAGGGAGCCCCTTTTGTTTCATGCAGCTTTGTGTAGGTTTACAGTTTTTCTGTAATTCATGTTTAAAGAGTGGCTAAAGCAAGCAGGAAACTGAAGCTTCATGTCCAAAAGTGAGCTGGGGGCCTTGAGGCCAGTACAAAAGCGTTCTGAGGACTTACTGAGAAGAGATTGAGACCCTGAGTGCAGGCAAAAGTTTTGGAAGCAGAGCTGGAATCCACCAGCTTCAGGTTATGTGAAAACATTCCCTTGTATTTGCAGTGCAGAGGTGTGAAACTGGTGGTGACTGAGGAGTTTAGATGGACAGTCCTCAGTGTTCTCCAGGAGAGCTGGGTGGTTCTTCTCCCACAGAGAGCTTGCCAGGCTTTGTTGGATGGTGCAGAGCCCAGCCCAAGGCTTGGACACAGGGAGAGCTCCGTGGCTGGTGTTTGTGTGAAGCTGTAGTGCAGCTGTATCTGGTGTGCAAAGCAGCCATTGATAGCTGTGAGCCTTCTTTGGGAGAGCAGGAATGCAGCATCTTCTCAGTGGGATTCAGAAGCCCCCCTGCCCACCCACTTGCTCTGTGGAGGGCTGTCACACCTTTGGGTGAGTGCCACCATGTCACCTGCAGTGCTGCATGTCCTCCTTCACTCTGAGATACTCAGAAGTCTCTCCAAGATGCTTTATCAGCATCTCCTAGAAATCAGGGATGCAGAGAGCACTTTGGGGAGGAGAGGCTTCTTGTGGCAGCAGCCCTAGCTTCTTTATCAGAGTGTGGAAAGCCACAATTAAATAGCTGAAAGCTTTAAAATGGTCACTTAAGGCTTCTGGGCTTTTCTCTCACCTGTAAGAATTGTTTTTTTTAAGTGGTGTTTCAAATCAACAGCAATATGAAGCACAGCTCTGGGTTTATTGCTGTAGCACCCTGGTCCCTGCCTGTCCTGTGTCCATCCTTGCAGGCAGGTGGGGATTTAGCAGCTTCTCCACAGTCTCTAAACCTAATCATTCCCATCCAACCCCCTGTCTGTGAAGCCCCCAGCTCCTGCTGCTGTGGGATTGTGTGATGTTCAGCTTCTCTGAGGGCCAGACCCTGTGCTATGAAGCTGTTCTGGGGTTACTGAGCTGCATGAGAAGGGTCTAACAAGGAGCAGGGTGAGCAAAACCCCATGAATCTACTTGCAGTCAGCCTGTTAAACCTCTCCAAGGATTATTTTTTGGGGGTTTTCCATGCCTGGTGGTTCAGAGGCTTTGCTCACCCTGCAAACAGAGGCTTCAGAAGGGTCTGGCTCCTCGTGTCAGGATCTGGAAGCAGGGAGGCGTGGTGGGTGCAGCAGGTTGATCACTGACAATGGCTGGAACTTTGCAAGATGCAGTAGGTTTTGAAAGACTCTTTCCACAAACCCCTTGGTGGATTTTTGAGCCTTTCTGTGCTCAGACTTAGCTCTCAGCAGAAGCACTGACCCACCCCTTGCCTGTTGTGGTACTGGCACAAGATGCCACAGCTGAGGCAATAGCTGAACTACTCAGCAGTGCCTGAGCTACTGCAGTGCTGGGGTTTTTCCTAAATTCTCTCAGAATTCGGTGTGTTCAGCAGCAGCTGGGACAGGAGCACTGTGGGTCTGCCAGCAGCCCTACACTTTACCCAGTCTTCTGCTTGAATTCCTCCTCAATCTCTGCCACTTGCTTGGCTGCATCATCCTCTGCTAGTGATAGTTCAGGCCCACGTGTTAAGCTGTTGTAACTCCTGCAGACATATTTTGGTGGCACCATGCTCAGACAACCGTGGGCTGAGCTGGAGGTGACCCAACCACACTTCATCTGTCAGTTCATAAACTTCCTAAACACAATATTTGGCTTGGGCAGAAGCCTGGTAGGTCCACAGATAGATGCTAAAAAATAAACACGGCTGTCAGCCTTTGTCCCAGCCCCTTGACTCAGTCGATATGTTTATTAATCTTTTATGCCAAAGCAAAGCCCTCAACTCCTTAAGTGTTTGTTTAGGTTTTAGTGTTGTTATTAGTTTTAAGTTCTCTCTCTTACTCAGAGGTGTTTATCTGTGCAGAGGCTTTAATCCAGCAACACTCTGCAGGACACAACCTTCCCTGACCCATCCCTGCAAAGGCACTGCCTGTTCCTGACACCAGAATGGAGCAAAGTCTACCCCAGAGCAGTGATGTGGTGATCTTGCCTGAGCTACCTTCTTCTGGTGCTGTGGCACAATGAGGTTTAATGCTGTCATGGCACAGGGCTTAAATATGGGTGGCTGAAGCTCATGTGATGTTTTGCTTTGTGCTGTCCTTGACTTTGACTCCATCTAGACTCCAGTTTTGAGATTTGGTTCAGCATTGGTTCATCTCTGGCTCTCCCATAACTGCACTGACATGGATTAGCAAAGGTTTAGCCAAGGCTTGAGGAGATGTTACAGGAGGCGAGTCTGGAATGTTCTGAAGGAGTCACTCTGGATGTACCCCACTAATGATGCTCCAGGAATGGGACCAGTGTTCTAAGTGATGGTTTTGGGTCTGGAGTTATCAGAGAATATAGACTCATCCCAAACAATGGAAGTTGGCCTAGAGAAGCTGTGTCTGTCTCATCCTTGGAAGTGCTCAAGGCCAGGCTGGGTGAGCCTTCAGTCTGGTCTAATGGAAGGTGTCTGGCCCATGGCAGGGGAGTGGAACCAGATGGGCTTTAAGGTCCCTTCCAACCCAAACCATTCTGGGATTCTGTGATGTTCATGTGCTCCTTCCCATCCACTGCATCAGCAATTCCTGCAAAGCTTGAGACACAAGTTTAAACCAAGCTTTAGCCTGCTAGGAGTACAGGCAGCCTTGTCATGGGTTCAGGAGCACAGGCAGGGAGGAGCTGGAGCTGCTCCGGCGTGGGGGACGAGGTGAAGCCTGGAGTCCTGGCTCTGTGGCCAGGTCAGGCAGCAGTTGCAAAATATTGGGGTTACACAACGCCTTTGTGATGGAGACATGGCCTGGAAACTCTGAAAGGACAGGGGGAAGCAGCTTGTTTTCAATGCTGCCAACAGCTTCTGCAATGGGGGCTCCAGCTCCTTGCCTAGCCCTGTGTTTTCCACCCTCTTGGAAGGGAATTGTGCAGATGTAAAGGAGGTGTGTTGTTAGCTGTGCTGAGGAGGAGGATTGCAGATGCACTGGTCTCATCTGGGCCACAAAGTCACAGGTCAGCGAGGGACAGATAGAGTCAGACCTTCCTGCAGAGCAGGAGTCCCAGGCGTTGGCACTGTGTTCGTACTGGAGGGATGTTGCACTCTTTGGTGTTTCAGTGTCACTGCACTGCCTGGGTTCCCCTGAGAGGGAGCAGAGAGGTCCTTGGACCAGCAAAGCTCTTGCCAGTCTGGAGCCACCCTTCTGCTCCTGCACAAATGGGAAAGTGTGGGAATTTAGGGAGTTTTTTTGGCTGCCCTGGCAGGTCTGGGACTTTAGTAAGAGTTAGGAACTTTTTTATACAGAGCCCCGAGAGACACTGTCTGTGATCTCTGTTTATGGAGAGGAGTTTTTAATTTTATAGGATGAATTACAAGTTTTGAGTGTTTGATAAGAGTAATAATTAAGTGTGACATGGGTGCAAAAGTAAAATTTTAGGATTCTAGATGAGGGGTCCAAAGGGGACAAGATGGAGGAAATTGGGTGTGTTTTGTCCTTTTCCTCCTTCTTCATGCCCTCCATGTTTCACTGTGGTGTTGGCATTTTTCTGTTGGTTCAGGCTGGGGACACACTGTCCAACGTAGGTGACAGATATTGGCACGTTATTGTAAATCCAGCACAGGTAGTTTGTGGTATTTAATGTTTGTACCATCCCACTGAGGGCAGAGCCCCACACGCTGCCCTGCAGGACAGAGCTGCGGCAGGGCAGCAGAACATGTTAGAGATAAACAGAATAAACAACCTTGGAACCAGCACAGACCAATTATGGCTTCTGCTTTGGCAACGGGGCAGAAAGACAGAGACTTTTACAATCTGGGAATCATCAATACCCACAGATTCCGACAGGAAAGATGCCGGGTGCTCAGGCCTGCTACACCCTTCCCATGGGAATCTCTGCCAGAAAACTGGTGGTTTTTGTCTACAAGGAGGAGAGCAAGCAGAGCAAGAGAGGAGAAATACCCACCTGTACAAATTTCTTGTCCTGAAAAAGAAAAATCTCCAGCTTGTCCTAGAGCTAAAGAGAAGTAAATCAGGATTCTTCCTTCCATGCACCCCAGCCCAGGTTCAAACTGACAGAGGGCAGGGTTAAACTGGATATTGGGAAGAAATTCTTCCCTGTGAGGATGGTAAGGCACTGGCTGCCCAGAGAAGCTGTGGCTGCCCCTGGAAGTGTCCAAGGCCAGATTGGGCAGGGCTTGGAGCAACCTGGGATAGTGGAAGGTGTCCCTGCCCATGGCAAGGGATTGCACTGGATGATCTCTAAGGTCCCTTCCAACCCAAACAATTCTGTCTTTCTGTGGTCCTGCCCTACAGGCAGATCTGCAGCTGCCGTGTGTCAGAACATGTGTGTGTGACATGGCTTGCAGGATTTTGCCAACATTTGCTCCAGGTATGGAATCCCCAGTGAGAGGGCAGATGAACGTGCTGGAGCTCTCCCTGAATCATCAGGGAATTGAGGTGGAACAAACAACACCAAGAAAGCTCTGCCATAAACAGAGTGTGAGTTTCCTGACTCTTCCTCCCCTCCCCAGCTCTCTGCTTTCCACTGGAGACAACCCTGTTGCCA